GAGTGAGAGAGAGGGAGAGATAGAAATGCGAAAGAAATCGTGAGATTGAATACAAATATAAGAATCGTTAGATTGAAATAAAAGAGAAGAAAAAATATAGCGAGAGAAAAAAAGCGGAGAAGAGGAAAGACAAAGACGAAGTAGAAAGAAACTGAGACAGAGAGAAAGAAAAAAGAGAATGAAAAACAAAGCGAAAGAAATAGAGAGGTTGAAAGCGAAAGAAATCTATAAGTAAAAGAATAGAGAGAAGTGAAACAAGTAACGATAGACAGAAAGAATAAAAGAGAGAGAAAGAAAGAGAAAGTATAAAGAATCAAAGAAAGAAAAAGAGAATGATAATCAGAAAATGAAAAAATATTGAGGTTGAAAGAGAAAGTATAAGAATAAATAAAGAAAAGAAAAATAACAGAAGAAAGGACGATGTAAAAAGAGGAGACAAAGAGAATACAAATAAAAATGAAAAAAGAAAGAAAGAAAGAATAGAAAATAAAAGACGAAAGAAAGAAAGCGAGGCTGAAATAGAAAGAAAAAGGCAAGCTTAAGAAAAGGGAAAGACAATAGGAGTGAAAGAATAAAGAGAGAAAGAAAGAATGAAAACTTTTCTAAGATCATCTTCAGGTGTAAATTACAAAGACAAACATGATATTTTTACTGCGATAAAATGAAACACGTAAACATGTGTATATTCATTGTACTTTTTTTACGTACAATTTTGGCACAAGGCCAAAGAGGAAGTTGGGTGTGGCTGGTCGTCCGCAATGATTATCCTAAACCTAACTAATCTGATTCGCCACCCATTCATTCTTTCATTTAGAGTTTACTCTGTCACGACAAAAAAAAAAAAACCCTTCTTCACTCATTATTTACATTTTTCGGACTATCTTTGTCGCCTCATCTTTGTCGCTCCGGCCTTCTTCAGGTTTGGAATCGAACTTAAACGTTTCGCTCACTGAGGTTGAATGTTCGTTCCATGTGCCATGTTTAATGGATTCAGTTATTCCCGTTAATTTTCCATCTGAAAATTCACCACTGCGTTGGTATGGAATGTCACTGAATCTAAACCGCCTTTATCCACTGTGCCATGTTTCGCTCACTGAGCGAAAGAATGTTCTCGACATTCCATGGGCCAACGGCCGAAATGTTTAATGGATATGGCGACAAAGATGAGGACAATCTCCGAATAATGTTAATTTTCATCTCTGAAAATAGACAGATTGAAACCGAAACGTTTAATAAATATGGCGATGGAACTCAACAGTCGAATAATGTAAATTTGGGTCAGAAATATAGACAGATACTGAAAATCGAAACCTTTGTAATAAAATACGACAAAGATGAGGATAATATCCGAATAATGTAAATGTGTACATAATGTGTCTCAGAAATATAGACAGATACTGAAAGGCCGAAACGTTGTAATAAAATGGCGACAAAGATGAGGGTTCGAATAAGCAAATATTCCAACCACGAAATATGAAGATACTAAAAGGGAAACGTTGGGCGACAAAATGAGGATAATAGTCCGAATAATGTAATAAATCATGAAATATAGCGACTGAAAGATGAGGACAAAAGGATAATAGTCCGAATAATGTAAATAGTGTACATAATAGCTCATCTCAGAAATATAGACAGATACTGAAGGGCCGAAACGTTGTAATAAATATGGCGACAAAGATGAGGACAACAGTCCGAATAATGTAAATAGTGTACATAATACCTCATCTCAGAAATATAGACAGATACTGAAAGGCCGAAACCTTGTAATAAATATGGCGACAAAGATGAGGATAATAGTCCGAATAATGTAAATAGTGTACATAATACCTCATCTCAGAAATATAGACAGATACTGAAAGGCCGAAACGTTGTAATAAATATGGCAACAAAGATGAGGATAATAGTCCGAATAATGCAAATAGTGTACATAATAGCTCATCTCAGAAATATAGACAGATACTGAAAGGCCGAAACGTTGTAATAAATATGGCGACAAAGATGAGGACAACAGTCCGAATAATGTAAATAGTGTACATAATACCTCATCTCAGAAATATGAAACAGATAACAAAAGGCCAAAAAGGTTGTAATAAATATGGCGACAAAGATGAGGATAATAGTCCGAATAATGTAAATAGTGCGACATAATGTAAATAGTGTACATAATACCTCATCTCAGAAATATAGACAGATACTGAAAGGCCGAAACGTTGTAATAAATATGGCGACAAAGATGAGGATAATAGTCCGAATAATGTAAATAGTGTACATAATACCTCATCTCAGAAATATAGACAGATACTGAAAGGCCGAAACGTTGTAATAAATATGGTGACAAAGATGAGGATAACAGTCCGAATAATGTAAATAGTGTACATAATACCTCATCTTAGAAATATAGACAGATACTGAAAGGCCAAACGTTGTAACAAATATGGTGACAAAGATGAGGATAATAGTCCGAATAATCTAAATAGTGTACGTAATACCTCATATCAGAAATATAGACAGATACCTTCTTCATTCAATCCAACTTTTACCAAAATACCATCTACTCACAGGAGACCCGAATGGAACACATGATGTATATCTATGTGGATATTTACAATTTTTCTTTTTCTGTTATTATTTTTGTGTTTTTGTTTTTGTTTTTTGTTTTTTGGTTGTTTTTTTGGGGGGGGGTTGGGGGGGGTATATTTTTTTACAAAAGTATAAAAATGATAAATCATGAAATGTGTAGTTATAATATATTTTTTAAAATCTTTTATAGTTATTTTAGAATTTTAAAATTTGTAATTGTTGTAGTCATAGATAAAATGAAACACACACGTAAACATGTATATATTTATTGTAATTTTTACGTACAATTCTGGCAGAAGGCTGAAGAGCAAATGGGGCCGAGATGGTCGTTATTAGCTATCCTAAACCGTCTTTGTTTATATGCCATGTCCTTTCAGGACTTAGGTGATCATGTCTTTCCACTTCCCCCTATCCTTTGTAGTTCTCAATATGTTTTGTCCTTTTGTTACTCTTTCCCAGATTACTATCCCTTGCCGCTCTTTCCCTCTATCCGCCCAGCGAGTATCAGATTCTTTAAGCCCCTTTTTCTCATTATGTGTTCCAGAAATTTCAAGTGCCTCTTCCTGATGTTATACATAAGCTTCCTCCTTGTTTGCATCCCCTAAAAACCTCATGTTCGGTCTTTCCTATCCTTTTGT